TTTGGCCAGTGGAACATGCCCACCAAGTGTCATTCTGGGGGATCATGTACTCACTTAGAGGGTCACTTAGAGGGAGGGTCCCATTGCAAAGGGTACCTCAATCCTCACGTTTCCAATGTATAGCCCTCGCCCAATTACCTGTTGTAGTGTTAGAGGATGACGGGGGGACTGCCAGCAGCACTGATTTGGCTCTTTCATCTGAGCCACTTCGGCCTTCACAGCTATCCCCTCGTAGTAGGGGGGTGTTATGTCGTAACCTAACCAGCACAAGCTAGTGAGATCGGGCCTGCTCCAAGTATGTTTGTTGGAGCAGATCCACCATGGGATGCAGTCCCTCACCTAAGTCGGCTCAGGGTGGAGTCTCCTTGTCCCTGGTTCAAGCTTGGGTACTTTGCATGGGTGCAGAGATTTGGGAGACTGTGTGGCCTGGGGTTCCTAGAAGTAGGGTTGCAGTGGAGCAAAGTTTTGAGACGGTAGCCTGTGTGGGACATGCAGGGGGGTTAAGTATTTTGTTAGGACCTACTACCGATGGTTGCTCTATCTGTTCCACCTTTAGTTTAATTATGATGGTGGGACCAGCATGTCCCCCATACTTATAATATACCATACTCCATCTTAGGCCATTTTGCCAGCACCCATCTCATTTTCCTTTGGCAGAAAATGTGACTTTTATTCGGTCCAGACTGCGTGGCCCACAGGGCTGTTTCTCTTGTGGGACGGGCCTATACTGGATGGGGTTAGTATACTAACTAACTAAATCTGTCTTTTTCACTGGCCATCTCCATTCCCCATCGTTGGAGGTCACACAGTCCCAATTTCTGCAGAAAAAGGACTCCCAGCCTCCACATTCCCTCTTGTTCTTACGGTGGCCCGGACACGCGTAAAACCCATGTCTCCTAGCCAGGTCCTGTTGTGCTGAATTATAAACCTGATTTAAATCATGTAGGCAGAAGTATAAGTCAGGCTACCAGGTGCCCTCTGGGGCCACGCGCATGATTTGGCTTAGAGTATCATGTGTCTCCCCGTCCAAGAGAAACCAGGTTAACTTGCATGGCCTATGGGGGTTGCCTTCTGCTCTCTCGGGGTGGTAGGTCAAGAATATCAATAGGAATGGCCAATACATTTTAGGGGCCCACTCAGAGTTTTAGCTTAAGGGGATTATGTGAGTCAGGTGAGGCAGTCCACTTATCCTCTCTTGGAGACTCGGTCAACTCAGGGTCTGCTGTCTTGGCATGAGAGTAGTGGATCCAGGAGGTGATTCCATTGACCTTGAGAGCTGTTGGAGTCATCAGGATCACCATGTAGGGTCCCTTCCAATGGGGTTCCAGAGTCACTTTGCGATGTCTGTGGACGTAGACCCGATCGCCAGGCTGGTAGTTGTGGGGGGGTAGGAGGGGGAGCAGTCTCATAAATAGCTTTCAGCCAGGGTCATACGTCCCTATGCACCTGAGCCACAGCAACTGTTTGTTATCAAACTCAGCAATTAGTTCAGGTCTTAGACTGGGGAGGATGGGGGGAGTCTTCCAAACATAAATTCATATGGGGTCAATTGTAGCAGATAGGGTGAGTTCCTCACCCTATACAGGGCGAAGGGAAGGAGAGCCACCCAGTGTCTACCAGTCTCCATGGTTAATTTGGTAAGGGTCTCTTTTAGAGTTCTATTCATCCTCTCTACCTGTCCCAAGCTCTGAGGCCTGTACGCACAGTGTAATTTCCATCTTGCCCCCAATATGCTAGCTAATTCCTGGGTTACCTGTGATGCAAAGGCTGGCCCGTTGTCGGAGCTCAGAAGGGCTGGGACGCCATACCTGGGTAAGATGTCCTCCAGCAGTTTCTTGGCTACCACCTGAGTGGTCTCATGCTTGGTGGGGAAGGCTTCAGTCCATCCTGAAAAGGTGTCTACCAGAACTAGTAGATATTTGTAACCATACTTGCCTGGCTTCATTTCTGTAAAGTCCATCTCCCAGTGGGCCCCTGGTCTAGAGCCCCTCATTCGAGCCCCTTGTTCCTTAGGATGGTTTTCAGCATTGGTCAGCTTGCAACTAAGGCATGCAGAGGCGACTGCAGTAACCAGTGGCCTGAGATTCAAGACTTTTAAGTGAGCATTTCTTAAGAGTTCAGCTGTCTTCCTTGTACCCAGGTGAGTGGTTCAGTGGATGTGTGTGAGGAGGTCTTTGGCCATGTTGTTTGGCAGAATAATTCTACAGTCTCCTGTATGCCACCAAGCCTCGATCTTTTGGGTCATGGGAAGTTTGTGTATCAATTTTATATCCTCTTGGGAATAGTGAGGCTGATCAGGTAGGACAGGGGGGCCAGGATCTGGCAGTTGGATTGGCAAAATCTGGAAGGCCTCCAAGGCTGCTACTTTGGCAACCCGGTCTGCTCTCTGATTTCCCCGAGCTATGGGCGTGTTAGCTTTCTGGTGCCCGGGGCAGTGGATAATAGCCAACTTCTTAGGCAGCCATAGAGCCGCCAACAAGCCAAGAATTTCTTGTTTATTTTTAATAGCTTTTCCCTCCGCTGTGAGCAGCCCCCTTTCCTGGTAGATGGCTCCATGCACATGTGCCGTAGCAAAGGCATATCGGCTGTCTGTGTACACATTCAATCGTCTGTTCTTTCTAAGCCTAAGGGCTTTGAACTCCAAGAAGTGATCCTGGAAAAGGCTAAGAGGAGTTACTTGGTTCTGTCCCATCTCTTCTAATGCAGTAAGAGTCACAAACAAAACAAAAAGCACAAACACATGGAAAAACAACACATGGTTAATTGGCGCCTTAAACTGAAAATAGGACAACGGCCTCTCACCTCCAGGTGGGCGCGACCCGCTCTGTCCTTCCAAATTTGCCAAGGGGATCCAATCCCCATCAGGTGGGCCCAGGATGTCTCCCAAGTCCCACGGCCTGGGGCTTTCCAGTGCGTCCGCCTAGACCTCCATCAGGCAATCTCAAACTGGGCCCAAAAACAAGACGCATGTAAGTACAAAAGACACAAAGACAAGAGACACTCACCGATCGGATCAGGCAGACTCTCAACGCTCTGGGGGTCCCGTGGGGGGGGGGCGGTCTTGGGGATCCCGGACAAGCCCCCAAATGTTGTGCCCAGAGAACGGACCCCCAAGAATAACCAGAATCCAGAGGGCATGAAAGAACAAAGAGTCTTTATTCGATTTTAAGCTCGGGTTCTCAGACCTCACCAACGCAATGGATCTGTGCTGAGAGCCCTGATCACAGGGGGTGGAAGCACTTTATAGGTTTTAGACAAAGGGAGGAGGGGAATAACAGAGTCACACTTTGATTGGCCCGAGGAGCCTGCGTGCGCCAACACACTTTTGAATTGATTGGTTATAAGGGATGCAGTCCTGGGGGCTTCTCATTGGTGGGTGCTACCCTCAGAGCTATGGAATGTGCTGTTACCTGTAGAGCCAGAAGTCTTCATTTCTACCTTATAAGGCTGCTATATGTCTGGGCTTGCTTGACCTATAGCCTCCTGGGGTGGGAGGTGGCAGGTGGAGATTATGACATGCCTGGGCATGTTCAGGCTTGCCTGAAACAGCTAGTCACAATGGGGTCAATATAGTTTGTCCTTTCAATCAAGCAGTTTAGAGAAGCGAAAAAGGGCAGTTAGTCCTAAAGAGGGGCAGGGGTCTTGGGAGTCCAGGGCAGGGGGCCAAGGAGGAGGACTTCACAGTACCAAGCTTCCTTCTTAGTTTTCACTGCATTCAATTAAGATGGGGTGCTACCTTTCAGCACTTTAGTATGTTAATTCTTAAGCATAGCCACATTCATTATCTCTTTGGGGGCAGAGTAGGAAATTGAGTTTTCCTAGGTTAATTAAGTCATTTGTCCGGGGCTGGAGAGATGGCTCAGCAGCTAAGAGCACTAGCTGCTCTTGCAGAGGACTTGGACTTCAGTTCCAGGGGATCTGATGCCCTCTTCTGACCTCCATGGGAGAACACAGGTGCACTTACTTACATGCAGGCAATATACTCAAATGCATAAAATAAAATAAAAATAATAAAGATAATACTTTTAAAAGTTATTAGTCCAGATTCTGTCCATTTTATCTCATTCCTACAACTGAGATGCATTCTGGGGCTTCATTAGTTGGCTTAGAGGCCAGAACAAGCATGCTCTGCTTCTAGTTGTGAAAATAGACTTGACTGCATTTGTTCCAACTGTACTCCACCTGTGGCTCCTCATGCACCCTATGCTACTCTCTTTTACTCCATGCCTGCCCTCTTCTTTGTCTAATTAAAACTCAGTTCAGACATTGTATCTTTCAAAGCTTCTCACCCCCAGACTGGGCAGCCCGTTTCCCCACCATTGTCCCTTCCCACTGTATGGACACTCTGATCAGACTCACTGCTTCTTTGGGCAAGAATCATTGGGCCCACATTAGCATCCCCAGTGCACAGCTGGTGTAGGCACTGGCCGGCCCTCAAAGGCCAGGTATTCTCCCCCAAGACAGCACTCAGCTTCAACAAGCACCACTCCATCACCATCTGTCTACAACTTGGGATTAGCGTGTCTTTTCTCAAGTGAAATTTAGATGCTTTCTGTTGTAGTTGGAGGTAAGATTATCAGCAAACTTTTAAAACTGTTTCTATAGCCACTAAGACCTAGAATGCCTGAAACTGAGCTCTTTCTGCATGTCTGAGTCAGTGTCTGCATTGATGGCTGTAGCTGCCCAAACCCTCATCAGAATCCCTGTTCCTGGCTTGGTTCAGTATACAAGCTGTGACCAGATCAACCAAGGAGTCTCATAACCTGCACTGTCATCAGAGGGTAGGTTCTCTGGGCAAAGGTCACCTACCAGGCTATCATCCCCTTCTGTTATTTCTTTTCTGAGTATTTCATACTGTCTGAACTCTAGCTGTCTTCCATACCTTTTATGTAACCTCTCACATAAGCATTTTTTAATAGTTTTTTTTTTTTTTTAACGTACTTCAGCTGGAAAGTCAACTTTTGCTGAGCCTTTCCCTTTTTCTCCCTCTATTCTTAAAGGAAGATTCTCAGTGTCACATTTCAGAAGTGGAAGGCGTTTGTAAAGCTTATGAAAGAGGAAAGAGTGAAAGAAGAAAGGCGAGATCAACTCCGTCGGAAGGTTGCTGAGATTCTTCCAGACTTCCAAATGCTGGCTCCACTATGACTGTCATTTGTACCAGCAACTAGGTAACGAGTCTTTCAAGTGCCAGGATGTGTGTGGTTATCTCCATCCACACACCCATACTTGTACCTGGATTACTTTCTGAAATGTCATGGACCAGTGGAATTATTTTGGGAATTTGTTCTTCATTTCTCTCAAGTTGCTAGGCATTCACTATAACATTTATCAGAGTGGGTCATCCAAAAGAACAATCCAGAGCACCACTGTTCCAATGTATTTTATATATTTTTAGCATAATAAACTTTTAAAAAGACAAGTGTTTGCTTGCCTGAACTTGTGAAGAAAAATGTGTCCTCATGGCTTAGTGTGAGATGCTAAGAGACATTAAAAAGCAACAAAAAGTAACGCATACTTAGAAAAGGGATGAGTAGCCAACGTTCTAGCATCAGTGACCAGCACCCTACTGGGCCCATTCCACCCAATGGCAAACCATGATCAAAAGGTACTCTACGCAGCTGTGGCTGAGGGCAGCAGCTTATCCTGATTTCAGAGAAACTAGGGCACCAAAGCTACTGCACCTTGATAAGCATGAAGGAAATTCCAAAAGCTAGTTAACTCCAGCAAAGACAGTCCTTCCTTCCGATACCTAGTCATGCTCCCAACTGCAGCTTTTTTCAAAAAAAATTTTATTTTAGTGTGAGTGGTTTTGCCTGCAAGTATGTAAGTGCACCACACCACATGTGTGCAATGCCCAGGGAGGCCAGAAGAGGGCTTTGGGTCCCCCTAGAACTGGAATTGCAGGTGTTTTTACTCACCATGTGGGTGCTGGGCACTGAACCCAGGTCTTCTGTAAGAGCAGCCAGTGCTCTTAACAGCTGAGCCATTTCTTCAGCCTCCAACTGCAGCTTCTTAATCATCTATTTAATTTGTTTTCTAGTCTTGGAAATTGAGATATTTATCTTGAATTCAAAGAATGTTTTAATCTTTAAGCTACTATAAAGACTGATCATTCTTATCTGTTCTACAGAATTATCTGCTAGAAAAAAATTATTACAAAACACATTTTTTTTTTTTTTGTCTTTTTGAGACAGGGTCTCCCTGTAGCCCCAGCTGTTCTGGAACTCACTATGTAGACCAGGCTGGCCTTGAACTCACAGAGATCTGCCTGCCTCTGCCTCCCAAGTGCTGGGGTTAAAGGCGTGTGCCACTACGCCCAACTCAAAACACATTTTTATTGTAATAAATTAAAATACCATACATAACAAATGCACACAATAAAATGAGAAAGACCCTTGTAGCCATGGACACCTGAATTGGCAAAATAGAATGCTGTGGTTCCTGAAGTGAATGTACCTGATCCCATCATGGTTCTTAAAAGGACCACCCAGCTGTACTCCCTGCAAAATGACCTGGGTCCTGTCTTATAAAAGATGTGTGCTGATGGACTAAGAGACAACAAAACACTAGAACTGAATTTTACATCTGCAGGACACACACACACACACAGACCTTTTCCTTTAATATGATTATATAATTCTCAAAAACTCAAGTGTTTTGAAAATTAAGGGGCACAATAGGACTAAATTCATATTTAATCTCATTCCATCTAAACCATATAGTTTATAATTAATTTTATACTTAACTATTGCATATTTATGAAATATTGGCCATTAACACCTTTTTAAAAAAAATACCAGTATTAATGCCAAGCCTGTAGATAAGGGTGAATTCTTTAAGTAAACATGTCAGGGACCCTAAATAAATCCTGTAAAATTTGAGTTTTCTTTCTTAAACTTTAGATTTGCCTCACCTCAAGCATGAACTAGAAATTGGCAATCCATATTTTCACCGGACCAGTTGAACTTAGTACCTGCTTAGGAAAACTTCAAAGAGACCCAGGTTGTGCTGGGCCATCATGAAGGTGTGATTTCAAATGTTACTGCTAAGGAAATGCCTAAATAACCATATCCTAATCTATAAAACTAGGGGGAAAATACAGGAAAATGAAAATTTAGGGTCAGGGGACAGGGCCACTGGATGGGGACATCCAGGGAGTGGAGGAGGCACAGCTATAATGCAGGGCTTTCTTAAGGTGAAACAGTTTCAGGACACACCAAGAGACACCAACTATTTCTTTAAAGAACTTTAGTTTCCATTTAAACAACTTGGTCACAGGACATTATTTTACATAAATGGCAGTAGTTTGTAAAATTTCCACTTGAAAGGCTTTGTGTCAGAGTCTGAGGTGGTAAGAGGATATGAGTTCAAGTACATAAACAGTGCAAAGTGTTCAGCCCACAGCCTCCAGCTAGGCTTGGGAAATCCCACTTCATGTACATTAAATATTGAATTTAACATTGAACTTTTTCCTGCATTTCATTTAGTCTAACATCAGACCCAGAAACATGATCAAATGAAAGTGACCCGAGAGCCCTACCACCTAGAACCATCAAATCACTCCGACCCTGGGACCAGGAGTCGAGCTTGCTTGCTCTAACGTGGCATCTTGTCAGTGGCTCCACCAGAAGAAAATCGAAATTTCAATTGTGTCAATAATTAGAACAGACCAACTCTGGTTTTAAAGCTTTGCCTTTTAAACATGAATTTCTAAAGGTGAAAAATGCTACCAGGGAGGCTCCAGTACTAATAAATCACCCATCAATTCGGAGACAGCCACATCCTTGTTAATCGTGTTCTCTGGCCTGCTGCTTCTACTACAATGAAATGCTTAGTACCAGTTCAAGTGTAGATGACATCCATTAGCAATAGGATTCAGTTCAGCTGATTCTGCAGAAAGTTCCCGTGAATCACAGCAAACGTTCACAAGCACATACTGAGTTTTGTTGGGCATTAAGTTTAGTGTGTTTTTCATTCTCACCTGCACTGCCTCTGCCGTATTTAACGTGAAATGGTTTATTTGCCAAGCTGCTGCTGTACGAAACAGATTCTAAACAGGTGCCTTAAGCAGAAGTCTCTTATCCACTGCTTGTTTGAGAAAATTCTTTTTGAGATGCAGGGTTCCAAAATATGGCCAAAATAAAATTAAGCCACAAAAACCTACTTACCTAGTTGAAAGAGATCAGTAAGTCTCATGCAACATTGATTTTTAAACATCATAGTTAAAACTGTGCTTCTAGATGTTGCTTTTGTGTCTGTTAGTCAAACTTTACAATAAAAAGCTAATGTCCGAACCAAAGGAAGTAAGTCAGATGATCAGTATTACACAGAATCTTACTGGCATTGTGTTTTCTGGCAGTGGAAGATTCTAGCATAGAAAATTTTCTCTTGCTAAAAATATTAGATGTACTGAGGACTATCCTTCTAGGCAGATGGTGCACTGGAAGACAACAATCACTGCATTCACAAAGTAAACACGACTTGAAGAGCGAAGATTTACAACCTGCTAAACACATATGTGGCTGAGGGGCACCAACAGCACACTGTCCCCAAACCACACTTAAGGCTTTACTTTAGCAGCGTCAAAGTAACTTATCAAAGAGGCAATGTCAGTGGTCTGTACCACACAGTACCTGCCAAGTGTCCTAAGAAATATTTTTAAATATTGAAGGAAGTCCTTCAATCCTGATCCTTGTGTGCTTTTCCCTTGACTCTCAAAGGGATCCATTCCTCTTCCCCAGGAAAGTACACAGTGGTGTGATAATTATTAAATGGTCAAAATAGAGGGGGTAATTTACTAAGCTCCACATTCAGAATGGTTCTTAACAGAGGCTGACCGCATAGGGCAAGAAAAGGGACCTGGCTTGTTTGGAATCACATTTGGGGAAAGCAGTTGCTCCCATGGCCAATGGACTGCTGGTTTATAAGTTCACAGGGCAACTATCTATTGCCACCACCACTGGATGTTTGGGACAACCCATTCAGAAGCCTTGCCCCTTTAAAGACTCCACGGTTAAATTTTCTACCATCCATAGAATGTCAAGGCCTGTAACACAACTTTCAATAAAAAGGCTCAGAAGTCTAGGAATACATGCCAAGGATATTCCAGGGCCTAGAGAAGCTCCACTCATGGACCACCTCTGGTTTGCTGCCTCTTAGCTCTAGACACCAGAAGGCTGATACCTTACAAACCAAGGATCTTCTTACAGGTTTGAGCTTCGTTCTGTAAACCACCAGTCAGCTCTCAAGAAACTTAAACTTCTTAATTCCAGTGAGCCAAAAAGCAGGGAAGGAGTCCCTCTCTGAGCAGGGGGAACTGAGTTGCATCTCCCAGGTAACCCTTCAGCAGTGAACTGGGAGAAAGATGGTGATCATATGCCTAATTCTCCCCGATGACTCTGATTTTTTTGTACTATGTCCATCACATCACATTTGCATTGTTGTTAAAGATCTGGCAAGCTATAATTACTATAGTATTTCTATTAACTTTTAGCAGTTGTTAGACAATCAAAGTTGGCTACAGCTGGCATTCAAGAGACATGAAAACTACTAATTTCTGCCCACATAACACTGTCATTGACATTACTACCATCCCTCTTATCTAAAACCCACACAGAAAACAAATTAGTTGTATCCAAGCCAACTTTCATTCTAAATGAATGTCTGACTCTAAGCCAGGGAGAGGGCATCACTGTAGAAACCGCAGTGTCTGCGAACATCCCCAGGCTCATTCTCTGGTCCATCCCAGTGGAATACAGAGTCTGTTATTTGTTAAACAATCAATCTCTGGGGAGAGCAATGACAAACCTGAATGAACGTGTGGCACCTGCCTTCAGGAGAACCCTGGTTAATGGCTCATCTAAGGGTGGCGCTTGGCTGCAGAGGGCAGAACTGCAAGCAGCAGCAGCAGTTTCCTCTCATCACTTACAAGCAGGCACAGTGTAACAAAAAGGAAACTGTTTTCCCTATATTAAGCAACAGGCCAAGGCAAATTTAAGGTCTCCCACATCATCTTTGGGACTGCAGAAACAGTACATATACAAAAGCCAAACATTTCAAGAGGGTATTTTTTCTCATCTGACTCCCTCGAGGGGAACACTATGAGCCATTCTGCTGAAATATATAAATTCCTAATTTTCAGTTCTGAGATACAATTAAAATAACAATTTGTTACTTGGGAAAGAACAATAGAATAGTAATCTATTAATTATTGGAAACCACATATACCCTGTTTTTTCTCTTCCAGTGAGATACTTTTACATAGGGAAGGGCAAATGAGAAGTAATGTGCAAGTTAAGTGGGAGGGTATCAATCACTTCCTCAGAGTTTATACACACTGATTTTTGCATTTAGTGCTATCAACTAATAGCACTTGAAATACTTACATGAACATATACACACACACACACACACACACACACACACACACACATATAAATCAAGCCCTTGATATTAATCAGCTTCCCTACCCAGGAAAGAGTAAAAAGGACAGTCTCTTCCTCTTCCAGCCTGTTACCAGTGAAACATGGAAAGAGGGAACAAAACCTTTGATGCTTGCTAGAATTACACTAAATGATAACTTTAACAAATTAAATAAAACTCATCACCTGACCTCATGACCACTTTACACTGTACTGATAATAATTATTTCCATCAACTGTCTTTTCAAGATGAGGTGACAAGTGACCAGCTTCTCGTCACCTCCTGCCTGTGAGAAAATGTCTAACACTTAAAAAGAATCCCCTTAACTGTACAACTGATTGTCTTAACAATATTGGCTTCAATATTCTGATCTACAAACACTCGTAGGGGTTTCCTAATAATCCTTCATATGTTGGGGTGCCTTCCATGTCCCTCATCCCTCAGGTGGCCTTCATGACTGCTTCGTGAGGTAGCCAGGCAGCGGAACCCCACCTTACAGATGAACCTGAGGCTTGGGAAAGTGACTCTACCAAGGGTCATATGGCTATAAGAATTGAAAGGACTGGAAACTATCCTAACCCAACACTCTTCCCCACATAAATGGATGGGAATTGCTTCTACCGATTTGTGCATGAGCAATCCATGTCCTTTTCAGCTTCTGGTGACTGAGTAAGGTACCTGGAAAGGAAAGGCTCTATTTTTACTACTTCAGTATAAAAATCCCTTAAGTTCTAAAGTCAGAAAAATTAACTTCTCTCCAGCACACTCTCCAAACCTGAGCATGGCCTTACAGTATCTGTGAGGAAACGGAGATGAGGATGAACAGCCAGCGTGTGAAATGGAAAAGACAGAGGGAGGAGCATCCCTCAGAGCCACACGGAAGGCACTTCAGACAATATGCTCGGCAGGGGCGTGGACCGCATGTGTGCCCAGGGTGGAGAACTGGTGCCAGTTCCGAAGGAAGCCCCTGTTGTACTGCCCTGTGTCTACGATGAGCCCACAGAGGAGTCGGCGCCCCGTCTTCTGCCGGAGAGCCTGCTGGACTTCCCTCTCTGTCACGTTGTAGCTTATGTTTATCAGCTGGATAAGGAAGATGTAGGCCATGCTTGCTGTGATGATCACAGAGTACCACACACAGGTGAAGGACAGAGCTGAGCTGTAATGGGGGAGGCGGCCAGATAGGGCACATTCAGAAACCATTCTAACATTCTGAGTATTTTTACTTGTAAGGGCTTGGGTATCTTCTCCAACCCCACACTAGAAGATATGCCCAGTTGAAATCACAGAAGTTCTTAATTCTCCTTTGAAAACTAAGTTCATTTTTTTTCTATGTTATACTAGTATAGCAAAGATAGCAAAGGCTGTTTTTTGTTTGTTTGTTTTTTAAATATAAACTCATTTTTTTAATTTATTGATTTTTGTATTTCATACATAACATCCCAAACAATCTTATTCATCTATATACCCACATCCCAAGTTACACCCTACCATCCCCTCCCTCCCCCCTTCCCCCCCACCACTGGAGCCCATATACTCTGTCATCCCTGTTACTGTCCACAGTCTTGTCAGTGCCCCTAATCATTCCCCAGTGCCCCCAGCTGTTCCCCAGTGCTTGTCCATTCACTGAGTCTAGTCAGCCTATCTAGAGTTCCTTATTTTAGGCAGATCAGCTCTTCCTCATCTAGCAGGAATCAGTTGCCAATATTCCTTTAGATAAGATTGGGGTCTGCTGTTCATTTTCCCAGTTCTATGCTGGGTTACTGTCTGGGAGTCTCTTGGGCCACCCTGGCCAATAACTCAAAGGAAGGTATCTCCTGTCTGGCATTGTTTCTTGTTATACTGCCTTTAGCTATACATATGGACTCAAAGAATTATACTGATCCCTTTAATCTTTGGTTATACTTTCCTTTTGGGTGTTTAAGACCATGTATTGGCCCAGATAAACCAATTTATTTTTACTCTTAAGGTCATTGAGGATCTGTTCCTCGGGGGTAACATGGGCTTGGGAAGAGTCCCTGGCTCCTTTACCAGTTGCATCTATGTGAAGTCAAAGGTCCTGCTCAACCATGGCTGGCTTCACTTGGAAGCATGGAGGAAATGTTTCCTCTGTGTTGACCCTCCTCTTGTAGACCGGACACTGGTTCAAGAGGCTGTTTGTTTTTTTTAAATACTTCGTATCCTTCACGCAACCAGCCCGACAACTAGCATAATGACATTCAATATTTTGTTTGTGAATGAATGAGCAATTCCTAAATTGTATTTAACACGGGAAAAAACAAAGGTGCCAGAAAATTGCTATCAGTGTCCTTTAGGAAGCTATAGATAGGAACTTAAGAACAGGCCTAAACTTTTCTCCTCAGTCTAATGCTGAATGAACATAAAGACAACTCTCAGCACAACAGCCCATTACTTGTAAGATCTCTAAGAGCCTGGCTGGAGAGACGGCTCAGTGGTTACCAGTGCATGCTGCTCTTACAGAGGACCTGAGTTTGGTTCCCAGCACCCATGTCAGGCGGTGTTGGGTGGCTCAGAACAGCACCTGTAACTCCAGTTCCAGGGGATCCAATGCCCTCTTCTGGCCTCTGTGAGCACCCACACCCAGCATACACTCACACAGACAAATATATACATCTAAATAAAAATTAAAAAAATAAAAAGATCTGTAGGAGCCTAACATTTCAAAATAAATCACATAGGGCAGGAAAGTATCTTTCAGGCTCATTTGCAATCTGTGAGGAGGGGCTGCCAATTAGAATAATCAAATAACAAATTATGCTCATTCACACGTGAAGAGTCAGTTGGAAATAAATTCACACACACTCTTGTAAAGCTAAAGGGGATCTCGCAGATGACTAAATCCAAAAATTTACCATAAAGTTGCAGTGACATGAGTCACCTACACAGGGTGGGTGAGGGACTGACTATTCCTCATTCTTTCACATCACCCCACCAAGCACACAAACACACTTTGGATTAAGACATTTATCACCCCAGTGTTGCCAAGAATTTCCCAACTGAATATGATCTTCCATATGTCTAGAAAAGAAACCTACCACAAGGAAGAGAGCTAATCTTAAAACTGTCCACACATGTCCAGATCTACAATGGCAAGAGGAGACCTTCAGCCACAGACTATTAAGAACAAACAACAGATGGTGCTGAGAACAAGGAGTGAGAAGAAAAAAGGGACCAAACCAGGTGCCACAGAGCACCCATGTCAGAGGGAAGGAACCAAAGAATGTGGCAGGACCCCGTGGTGTGGGGATGGGCTGGCAAGACCCACACAGAAGCCCCACTCATGCCACTGTGTGGAAATCTTTACAATTTGTGAACAGGTTCTCACCTAATGATACCTAAGCAATATTGACCTAGATACCACAGTAATCATGAGTAGTAAACTAAAAAAAACCCGGAAAAACCATGAGTGGGCAGAAGGGTAGAAAGAAAAAGGTTAGCAAGATGGTGAGCACCTCTCAAAACAATCATGCTGTGACCTCAGACACACAGTGGCCACTTGGCTGTGGGAGTTCCTGAGGATGCCTGGGTCTACTTGTTGAGCATCAGCTCCTCATTTTTTTTCTTTTTTTTTTTTGGAGAGCCCACCCACTCAGCACATGCTGCTAATGAACCCAGCCGCTGTGTCCACTGCTCTTCCTGCGAGATCCCAGCCACAGCCCAGCTCCTCACTTTTTAAGGTCAATGATGCTTCTGACATCACCCTAGAAACACACATACAACCACTGAACAGTTTTCTTGGTAATTTTAGGGATACCAAGCGTCTCCAAAGCCTAGCCTATGTTTTGGTTGAGAATAGTAACCTAGGAGTAAGTAACAGCCCTTTAATGACAACATTCATTACTTTCCTTGCTGGTCCTCTTAACTGGGTTCCACAACTCACCTGTAATTTGTGTAAACGCCAGGACAATAGAAGAGGGCTGTGAAGATGCTTCTGTCTCTGCAAATGGTGTCCAAGGTCAGTGCTATCCCGTACACAGAAGTGAGCAGGAAGATCAAAAGGGCGAGTATAAAAGCTTGATGATTTGATTCGCCAACGCAGCTATTTATCCTCAAAACAGCACAGGGGAGTGGGAAAGAAAACATATTGAAAAATGTCCATTATCTAACCCAAAGGATACACAAGAAAACTTTTAAGATATAGACAGTAGGAACTTAAGTTATTAAAAAATCAGTCATCTTATTTTCAAATTCAGGGAAATGAAAACTTCTCTACTGGGGGATACAGTCTTATATTCTCTATTGTGAAGTGGAATCACTTGTTTACAGTCTTATATTCTCTGCTGTGAAGTGGAATCACTTGTTTAAAGCCATAATAAATAAAAAGCAGAACCCAGCTAACAAATCTATCTAGATAGTATATACACACATATAAATATATATAATGCATATATACTACCTATATAATTTTTTTCAGTGCTAGGGATTGAAGCTAGATAGTTGCATATGTTAGGCAAACACTCTACCACTGAGCTACATCCCCAACCCCTGTTCCTAAATATTAATAAGTGGTCTATCATTAAGCTTTGAGGAGGGTTGAGATACAGCAGTTATGAAAATGTGAAAAACGCTGTTGGAGGGAGAGCACAAAAGAGGATAAACGTATGTTAGGTGTGGAAGAGAAAACAAAAGGACCCAAAGCAGTTAGAACCTGTGTGGAGAACAGTGAGATAACATGAAGAGGGGTCCTGGTTGGGGAAAAATAGCCCTGCACCCTGGCTTGTTAGGGCAGGGTGTGCAGGCCGCCCTCCTGCCCTTGCGCCTGGGAGCTCCACAGTCAGAGGTTTCACCTCTACAAACCAGTATTTGGAAATGGGCCAGCACACACTCATATGCACACATACACAATGGGGATAAATGACAAAGGCAAAGAAGAGGAGTATCTAAAAATCAAAACACCCCTTTACTCCTAAAAACAAGTCCTATAAAAGAGACGTTCTTGTACCGGCCATGCATTTACAAGCCATTGGCCTTTCCTGAACCTTCACTCTCATGTTCTCTTCTGAGGGAGGTAGGCTACCAGACCTAAAGAGTACTTCATTAGTCACAACTCCCTTAAAAGCAATGAATCTACACCTGCTAGTTATAGCACCCACAGCTGAATGACTTCACTCCCTTCACTCACTCCATGAAGTAACATCTGTAAATACTGCACTTCATATCTCATGGCCTGATGCGTCTTCCTTTGCCACTGGCCAGCTGGAAGGTACAAAAGAAGCCCTGTCTCGGGGCAAATAACCACTAAAGGGCTATCAGGAAGGGCCTCAACTCCATCACGGTGAATGAAAATCACTGGTAGAATAAAAATGATTAGGGATGTGCAGCAAGATCACCTGAAAACAGGGAACTCGTCCCTGAATTCTGTATTTAAAAAGGAACAGGGAAACAGACCTATACCGATAAACTCTGTGCACGCGCGCGTGCGTGTGTGCATGTGTGTACATGGGTGAGCATGCATGTGCATGTGCACACAGAGGCCAGAAGCTGACATTGGTATCTTCCTCAACCACTCTCCACCTTATTTTTTAATTTTTTTTTATTTTATGTGTAGGAGTGTGTTGCCTGAAGATATGTAAGTGCACCTGTGTTGTGCAGTGCCCACAGAGGTCAAAAGAGGGCACTGGAATTCCCTGGAACTAACTAGAGTTAAGGATGGTTGTTAGCCACCACGTAGGTACTAGGAATTGAACCTGGGACCTCTGCAAAAGCAGCCAGTGCTCTTAACCACTGAGCCATTTCTCTAGCCCTGCTCCACCTTATTTTTTGAAACAGGGTCTCTCACTGCTTGCTAGATGGGCTGGCCAGCAAGCTCCAAGGAGTCTCCTGTCTCCGCCTCCCCAGTGCTGGGATCACAGCACATGCCACTGTGCCCAGATCTGTATGTGGGTGCTGGAGATAGAACTCAAATCCTCATGCTTGCACAGCAATCATTTCACTAGCTCCATCTCCACAGACCATGGTAAATTATTTTTATTTTTAAATCAATCAAAGGAAAACTGGAAGAAGAAAAAAAAAAAGTAAAGTTTTTCTGCTAATCTACAGGAAATGAGTGAAGGAACTAAATCTGTGAAACTCAAAAACCTGATGACTAAGTGGGAACATCCTCACAGCCCACAAATATCTACAAGGTGTAAAACTGGGAAGGACAGACATTTTAGGATAGCACAAAGGAAGATCAAATATGGCTAAGGTGGTATATGAGTGTACAGTTTTCAGGTTTCCAGATCTTTCCAACATACCAGACACAATGATGATCCATTCTCCTTACACAGATGCCACATATCCGGCAATGCCAAGCCCGGGCGGGTCGCACTAGCTGGCACTTGGCACACCAGTCCTCCTTCACCTTGGCGGGGCTGCCAGCCCCCATCCTGGAGGAGCCCTTCATATCATCCTTCAGGCTGCGGTTGTTGAGGCCCCCCAAGGTATCTGTTCCAGGGAACCCTTTGGTCTTCTCCTGCTCTTTTTTGAGCAGGCACTCAATTTGGCTGCTGCTTAAGGATTTGTCATGGCTTGCTGGATTGCTGAGGTAGCCTGGATTCTTCTTGGCTCTGTACAAGGCTAAGAGTATCAGAAATAACCCGCAGGTAAGAACAGCCAGCTGAGTGGGCCCCACACGCCCTTTGGGGACCACTTCCTGAAGGAACACATAATACATGTAGCCCAGCGAAAACAGTCCAAGGCTCAGGAAAAACAGAGTCTGTTCTTTCCTTCTGTGAGTGAGGTAGTAGTACCACAGTGCCAGCACAGGAAGAGAGGTCAGAACCACCACCCCCAGCAGGAAATGCCAGGAAGCCACATGAAGGAAAACTGGCAGAAGCACGAGTGGAGGAACGATGCTAATATTAACTTTTCTGGCTCCTCTTAGCCAAGGAATTCGGAGGCGATCGGAAATTGTATCTGTGATCTTTTCGCAAGTCTCTGGTTGCACTGGTTTACAGGTAAGCCACCTATTTGGAAAGAGCAGAGAAGGCCCTTCACATGGATTTGCTGTATAATCTACAGAGCCCTGGATGCCAGACCACTGGATAAAAGACACCAAAAGCCAAGTATTTTATTTCCTTACTACTAAACACAAGTTCTTAAGATTCATGCAGCATTTTTAAAATGGGTTTGTTTTGGGGTTTTTT